ATAGCCCGAATGGCAAAGTCAATTGAGCAAGCAATAAAGGCGAGAATCGTCGCAACTTGAAAGGCGAGTCCTGCTATCATGATGTTTGTGCCTAGGTCTGCGCTTTTGTACTGTTGAGAAGCAACGGAGGCCATACCACCCCCAAGGGCTTGAAGGACCAGAGAGACAACATCGCAAGGGATGAACTAAAGAGTCGGTATATTAGAATGAAAGTTCGAGTCATATCCACAAGGCAAGGGCTTACAAGTCTAGTATAGTATTCGGGAGGTAACCGTGAGTTCTCTGGTCCAAAAGCTGACACAATCCTGCGTAGGCAAAGATAGATACTCGCAGCCATGAAGGCTGGACCCATGGTCAAGCAACAAATCTGAGTAAGAAAGGCATTCATATCGAAGCGATTGTACCAACTCGCGATGCGTCCACTGTATCCAATGATCTCGCACAGAAGACCTAGGATCATGGCAACATTGAAAGCTGTACCTCTGCGAGTGAAAACCCAAGTGACAATGAAGCCGATTAATGAGACTGTGAAAATCGCAAGAAATGCAGCATTCGGTGCAAGATCGATGCGATAGAGGTAGTAGCCCGTATCGTCGACACACGATCCAGCTTCGGGATTTTGAAGACAAAAGAAGGGCATGTCAGGAGCTTGTGTCCCGTTAAGGGAAACAGGGGAGGTTGGCTGCATAATGAGGATGCGAAAACAGGTCAAATATGAGTAATTGTGTCCAGTGTTCAAAGGAAAAGAATGAAAAGACGGGCAGCCCGATATATATATATATGACTGTTCGTTATGGAACCCCCTCCTGTACTTCAGCTTCAATGCAAGTGGCCCTCCACTCTGCCCATACATAAACAATCTTGAAATATTTACACTCTATAAGAAAGGTATCCAGGTCAAGGCTAGAGAAGTAGGTACAGGATCCAAGTATGATATCGGAGTTCACCTCCGTCGTATTTCGTGTTTCGCGAAGTTTGCGGCTAGTCTCTGACATATTCCATCATCCCGTCGGCCCTTGGTGGCCGAAAAACAACATGCATTGCCGTTTTGATTGTGGATATATTGAAAGATAGTCCCATCAAAAAATAGTGTTGGTTGCTTCAGTTCAGCCTCAATAATACAGTCGAAGGATCAAAGGAGCCTTGCAGATGGTCCGGCCCACTCACACTTCCTCGCACCATCATCCTGTTTTGACTACCTACCTATCAAATGAGAGTCACACTCTCATTGCTGTGCCTCTTTAGAGCGGAAAGCGATCAGTGTAGCATAGAAGAGGGTCCTCTCTGACTTTTCTTATCTTGCATCCTCTTGTGGTTCTCGGCAACTTGATCTGTGCAAGTCTGCACTATGTATATAGCGAAAAGCTGGGCTCTCTCAAACCCAATATATTGTAACGTGCGTGTACTGCTTGGGTTGTATCGCTGTCCCTCCTGTAACAAATAAAAAGAATAAGCATTATTTCTGAATCGTCGATCGAAGACATGACTGAATCCAACTCTTCCTCCATTGCGCTTCCACTTAGCCACCTACTTCTTTTTCTTTTCTGCAGAGCTGTCCCTTCTCGGACTCTCCTCCACGTTGGTTCCGCTGGCGCCGCTCTTCGTCACAATGCCACCAGCAGCCTTACTCGCGCCGACACTGATACCACGACCCTCTCGCATATCCAGGCTGATATTGCTCCCGACACTCCCACTGCGCTTGACACCAGCTTTTACCCTGGCCGCCACCGGGGAATCCAATCCACTTTCAGGTGAGTCTCTTCCCGCAGCACTCTTAAAAAGCTCAGGGGTGGCTGGTCGGTCGCCTGCAGGTATTTCACCCGAGTATTTCACTCTGTGTCTCGTCGTGTTCTTGGGAGAAGGAATTCCAGACGCCTGCTCTCGTGCTCGGTGTGGCTGAGGTTGGGGCGTAAGTTGGACGCCATTGGCTCCCTCAAGACTTGGTGTAAGTGTCGAAGACTCGCTCTCGCTGCCATGGTGAGCATGCCCAAACGCATAACCTGATCCTAGAAGACTCTCCTGCCGACTGACATAGTAACGATCATATTCCTCCTTTGTATGCTCGGCATCGGTGAAGCTATCAAGCGCATCAAACACGTGCTGGAAAACCTGGGTATCGACATCCCGAGCCCAGAGAAAGTCAAGATGTTCATAGTGAGGAATCTCAGTTGCCACAGTTTGAGGTGGTAGTTCCTTGAGCATAACCTTGATATCCACCAGGGAATCGCTGCCGCCGTAAACCAGAACGATTGGTGTTTTGATGTTTCGAGTCGGATACTTGGCAACCTTAGAGTATTTGCTGCTTGAAGTGACACTGATTGGCTGGTGAACGTCATCGTCATACATCTGGAAGGATTTGTTTCGAATGATTTGGAACCAGTGAACCACACTCTTGGTGCTCGTAAAAGAGTACAAATGTGGGTAAGCAGCCAATTTCTGACTCGCGGAGATATTGAGGGTTTGCCAATTGAACAAGAATGAAAGTCCCATGTCGATGAGCTTGCTGAAGATGGGTGGGTACAAGATGGTCTCCCACATAGTAGCGGAACTGAGAATGGAACGACGACCAAACAAGAGGAACAAAACAGAAGGCGATGCTGTTACGAGCGCGTCGACAATTCCACTAGATAAGCCGGCAGGCGCCATAGCAGGCGCGAGAGCGATGAAGACATTGATCTGGTTGTTGAGCTTGGGATGGATGGCTAAGCTTGCGAAAGCCTGGGCTGTACCTTGCGAAAAGCCGATGTACGAGAGACTCTCCTGCTGGGTCGTGTCAAGGATATAGCTGATGCTATCTGGGATGTCGTGGAAGGCAAATTCATCGATGGAAAAGTCCCAGAAGGCATTGGAGGTGGGCGACTGATTGATTGACTTTTTGGAGTACTTGTTACCCCGATTATTTCCAAACTATGCAGGTGTTAGTCAATGGACGTGGGCTGCGCGTCACAATGAAGGCAAACTTACCCAGACGTCGTAACCTCTCTCAACCAGCTCGAATGGTAGACATCTCTGCTCATCTGTGAGAGCAACCCAAACCTCTGAGTTCATAAGAAGGCCATGGTGCATGTAGATGACCTTCTTTTTCAGACTCGTCGGGCCGTAATTGACCTTCTGACCTTCTTCACCCTTTCTCCACTGCAGACGATGAAGACCTAAAAGATATCCATCCTTGGTTTGGACGATATGTTCCTCTGCTTCGTAGCCCCAAATGCGACACAGCTCGACAAAGTCAGGCGCGTCTCGTACCTTGGTGGATATCGCTATACGATGTTAGTCCGAGTCTCGTAGAAACAGCCAAAAAGCCAACTTTTTCGTTTACTCTCCGCTCGTCGCCTCGCAGGCGCAGAAAACCTATTGAAGAGCCGTCTTGAAGCTCTATAGAAAAGCGTAACAAGAAATGGGGCTGCGATGTTGTTGTTAGTATGATCCCTACACCGCTCGGAAAGGTTCTGCGACTCACGCAAAGCCAAAGTCAAGACTCGAATGATTGCCTCGAGACCGACGAGAATAAATGATCCCACGAGAGCTAGATACTCGTGACTATTCGGATTAGAGATTAGTAAAGTCGGCGCATAGTAGAGATGAGAGTGTGGATGAGCGCCACGCAGATCCTCCAGGCCAAGACAGACAAAGACGAATAGGGGAGATACTCACGGGCGAAGCCTTCCGATGAAAGGAATAGCCATCGCGACAATCTTTGTCTGAGGATTGCCGCGATACAAGCCTATCCCAGCTTAAGGTTTTTGTTGTTGTAGGGACAAGGATCAATGAGCGATGTAGCTAGCAAGAGAGGTTGATAAGGTATCCGTAGTCCAAGGTCTTGTCCAAATGGAGGTGATGTCAGTATTCAATGAATCACATGCAATTGGAGGTACTGGGCTACAGCGAGGTAGCACTGAGTTTAGTAGGTAGCTCGCGCACCTAACGAATCATGACCTCAGAACTTTAGGCGAGTCAACTACAGAATAAGTAACCCCGAGTCGAAAGAAACTCGGTGAAGAAACGAGAAAAATGGAGATTTCATCAGGCCTCAAGATTCCGAAAGAGCCCAATGGTCAAAAAACAAAAAAGCATTTCATATTTTCCTTCCATGATACCCATATGAAACAGTCATTACCACAAGCGAGCCACAGAAGACACTGCCACATGGCATACGCCAATGTCAGGGTCGCATGAGAGGGGATTGGCTCTCTTACAGGTAGTGAGTGGGCCATCGACACTTCCATGGCCAAGTCCCTTACGAAGTACTTACTAAGGTAGGCACCTCTTGATACAGATCCAGTGAGTGAGAAGTGAATAAGTGAGTAACAGCAGATAATGAAAGTCGAGGAGGATATCTCCAATTACTACAATCGAAATTGTAAACTCAACTACTATAGTACCGTAGAGCCCAGTCCTTCCCTCCCCTCCCTTTCTTGTTCTGTCCAGGCCATTATTTCACGACGCTCCCTCACTCTTAAATCGCTCCAAGCTGCTCCAAAATATTTCATGCCATGGAAGGCAACAGTATGCCATTGCCATGCCATGCCAAACATCGCTCATCCTTCCAGAGTACAGGCTACGATATATCGTCTTTCTCTTTTCCATCTCGTCATCTTATCTTGTCCCATCCTACATCCTGCTGGTCATGGTCCCCCGACTCCATATCTGCAGCTCCTATATTTCAAACATCTTAGCGACGCCATTGAGGTGATCCTTTGCTCTGATTCAGCCGGCATCAAGGGTCATCATGCGCTGACCTGGCGATTTACATAGTCAGGAGCACTACAACCAAATCCAGTGAGCGGTTCGAAGTGCGGCCCAAAAGTTTGTGTCTTCCCAAATAGAAGGATTACCACATAGAAGCCGAAAATCGTCAATACCTCTCTTGCGAGTATCTCACGCCCGAGGAGAGCCGATGTCGTAATAACCGGGCGCCGCCAAGTAATACAAGAAGAAGAAAAAATCTTTCCAGGAAAAAGAAACGCTCCCCCAATGCCGGGTCCGGTATTTATTTATTGTTATGAACCGAGCAGCTCCGACTTGCGGTTGCTCTTCCAAAAGTCGATTGCCTCAACAACGTCGTCTCCCTTGTCGTCCTCGTGTGCAAATAGAATCTGACATCATGTTAGCATCCTTGAAAGAAACAGGTTTCTGTGTGATCAAATTTACCTCATGTGTACTACTATGAAGCATGCGAATGTTCTTACGAGGCACAATGTGCACAGCACCGTTCTCCATGTTCCGGAGCTCAATAAAGTTTGGCTCGAAAGCAAGGATCCAGGGGTAGCTGAGTGCGAAGCTCTGTGGTGTACCCTCCCAGTCAATTCGCCACTCTGGCCGGGCCCTCCAGCCGTTGCGGTTAACAAAGAAGGAGAATTCCGAATAGTTAAGCAAGAACTCTCCGTTAAGTCGTTCAATGTGGATTGGCCTAACTCCTTCTTTGCGAGCCACAAAGTCAAGTGACGTATCAGCCTGGTCGAGCAATGATTGTGTTTCGAGCGTTTCGAGGGAAACGACCTCGAAACCTCGAGCGCAGGCAACGCAGAGTTTGGACTTGAGGAAGTGAACGGACGAAGATTCGGTGGGAATGTAGAACTCCTTGAATGGCTTGAGCTCATCATGACCGCCGCTCATGAATTTGCCAATACCCTTCTGCTTCTTGGCCTTGGTCATGGCATCATTAGGCTCAAAGACTTTGATCGTAGTAGATAGGGCAGATGACTTGACGCAACAGACCAGATGTCTGCCCAAGCAGATGCCCGTCTTGAAGAAACTGCAATGGTTCTGGATCTTTTTCGGTCTCCTGGACAATGCGGGCTCATCGGGGTTGAGGGCAGAAACTGGGTAAGACTGGAGTGTTTTGTTAGACAAGACCAAGAGCAATTGGTACTCTTCCAGAATATCAATCTGAGTAACGCTTGCAGTCTCCAATACCCTACGGGGCACTTGATCCTTCACCTTGCGGTCCGACAGGTAGACACCATTGTCAGTACCGTACAAGAGCTTACGGCCACCATCTGTCATGATATTAGCGATCGAATCGGAAAAAGTAGGAAGGACTTACCAAATGGCGTAACACAGTTGACACGGTTGGTACCTGCAAAGAACTTGCTTGAGATGACCGTTGTGTTGAAGAAGTCGGCACGGGATCGAAGGCGTTCCTGCGCAGTATGAATAAATTCAAGCCACTTTTGACGAGCAGCTTGGTTAGACGCAAAAAGCGTCAGCTCGTAACCTGCTTTACCCAGATGGCGGAAGGTGATCGGCCAGCCTTCCTTTCTCGCTGGGTCGTTGGCGTTGTTCCGAATCGAAGGAATCAAGCTCGACGAAGTACGCTTCATGTTGCCGTCCTTGGGAATCACCTCGTCCATTTCCCTGATTGCGAGAAGCTCCAGAGGAATGGGTCGTCGGTATGCCTTGATCTCCTCAGTTTTGCCAGTCTGCTTGATGCGAACGAGAAGAACGGCGTGATCAAAGAGGAAGGCCGTAATTTCTGCAGGATCCGTGGGCGACTTCTTGAACTGGCATTTGAAGACCATTTCACGTCCCTCTTCTGTGAGTCGAAGATCAACCCTCTCATTGGGTCTGAAACGGAGCTGCTCATGAAGCCTCCTGAGGTTAAATCGGTTTTCAGCCTTTCCAGATTCTGCGTTGACTCTGCCGAGAATATCTCGAATCATGACCAGAACCTTCGGAATGTCCTCTTTATCAGGGTTGCCATCTTCCGTGTATTTCAAAACGTTCTCCAAGAGCAAGGGGTATCGTGCCAGACGGGTCGTAGGCTTGGTCAAATAACCATTCAACTCCAGTTTTCTCGACTCCTTGCGTCTTTCAATCTCGTCCACAAACTTGCCGAAGTAAGGGTTGACTGATCTCTCGTTCTCAAATTCAAACTTTCCTTCCAACTGCTTCGAACCGTACAGAATAAAGGGCTCGAACTGAGGGACATACTCAAGGAAAATGTCACCGATATTATGGACAATAGGTTCCTTTTGTTGTCGAGTCGTGAGTCCAGACGCAAACCGGGAGCTGACGGTATGAATGCTGGGATGGTCGATAATGTTGCTGAAAATGGTCTTGACAACCTTTTCGCGGCGCTGAACAGGAACTGGCGAAGCCTTTGATCGTAAAGGCAGAATCCAAAAGTCTCGTAAATATTCCAAATCCTTAACGAAATCTCGCTCGGTATAACAGATCTCCGAAATAACTTCCTGCCTCTTCTTCTCCCGCTCATCGACCTTCTCAGCAACCTCCTTTGGAACGGAGTTAATCCAGAGTTTCTGTTCGTCTGTCTGATCAGCCTCGTCGTCGACAGCATTCACAGCATCCTCCTTTCGTAATCCAGGGTTGATCTTAAGATTCAGTCTCGAAACTTGCTCCAATCGTCGAGGGCAGGCAATTGAATAACAAAGTTGATCTCTGGTACAGGTTGGAGAATAGCATTCGGAAAGCAGGACAAAGACACCATTGACTGCGGGCTTATCTTCTGGCTCATCCATTAGTGTCTCCCTGAACTGGTACATTTCCGATTGGGAGTCTCGCAGACGGTGTTCGTAAGTGACATCGTGGAAAAACTTCTGGGCATCCAGAGCTCGGCCAAGAAGAAGGGCAAGGTTGCGATCAGTAGTCCTAATAATATATGACAAGACATCGACAGCCTCAGAACCGCTAAAAGCATTCTTGTATGTCAGTTCGTTCTTGGTCCGGTCACCAACAATAATCTTGCGACGGAAGCACTCTCCGACTCGAGATAGTAGGGCAGGATATACGAGGGGTGGTCGAATCTTCGTGGCAGTCGGGGGGCGCTCGCTCTCGATCGACTTGCTCCTGGTTGGTCGCTGAACCAAAGTGGAAGCATCAGACTCGGAAGGGGTGATGGTTGGTGCCACGGTAGAGGCCATCGACATGGTCCTACCATGATCGCCAGCACCATTGGACGAAACCATGCTAGAGGTTCGGGTCTGTGCCCCTGGAGCGTGAGGCATCGAATTAGGATAACCGTTGGTGGCCGGCAGCTCGGTAGGTGCTCGTCGGTTAGGGATGACTCGACCACTCATGGTCTGGTGGGCGTCCATGCTCTGGGGTTGGTAATTGCCAGTCAGCGACATGGTGCGGTCTTCATGACGTTCTGGAACAACTCGCCCTTGAGCGGTCGTCCTCGCTGAGTTCTGCTGCGCGTACGGGGCTTGTCGAAGGTGGTTTGCTGGTGCTTGCTGATAGGCGCTAGGAGGAGGGTGATACATTGGCTGGCGAGGAGCAGAAGCGAGTGACTGCGAGCGATAAGGGTCATTGTTCATTGCAGGCGCCGGTCCTCCTTGATAGAATCGCTGGGCGGGAGTCCTTGCACCAGGAGCTTGCGGAGGCGGCGGACCTCTTTGCTCCATTCGAGGAGGTGGAGGTCCTCCAGGGCCAGGATACGGACGTCGTGGTTGATGATGTTGTTGCTGCTGCTGCATGTAGTGAGGTGGCATTTGACCACCAGATGCTGAGCGTTGGCTTGGATAGTAGCCATTCCCCATCATGCTATTGCTATCCATTGTCCGAGTCCTGCCAGCTGCTGGGTCCCCATAGTGTCCTGGGGGAGCACGAGGCGGTGGTTGCCGTTGCATACCAGAGGACATTGAAGACATAGTCTGAGTGCGACCGGGGTCCATCATGTTTTGAGGCATCGAAGAGGACGAAGTCATTGTTTGGGATCGGCCAGGAGGCGGAGCAGCGCCGAAGATGTTGGAGAATGCAGCATCTCGTTGACCGTAATTGTTGTCGTCGCCGAAGCCCCTCTGCGGCGGCCTTTGAGGAGCTCCTCGAGGATCGTAACCGTAGTTCGACATGATAAGGGAAACTTGATCCAGGGCATGTCAGGAGAGCTTTCCAAGAAAGGGGTGGTACCTGGGGATGGGAATTGCATTACCGGTATGGTTTTGAGCGCCAAAGGCTAAAAGCTCGTTATCTGGCGTATCAACAGCCGACTTCGACGGATGCGCCGCCGTCAGTCGACGCCAATACTGTACGCCCCCTGAAGCTGAAGATAAATGTTGCGTGAGCGATAACCGTCCGTTATATACTGGCGCTGCGAATACCCTCGCAGATAGCGCTCGTCGTTACGGTGCGAGGAGATGATGAGGGATCGGGGTGTGAATTCTACCCAAGCAAAGTGTCGTGTCGGAATTTGCAAGTTTGGGCTCGAGGGGGACCGTCGGACAAGGCGGCCGGTTGAGCAAAATGGCAAACCTCTCGCCTTGGGCCGAAGCTCGTCGACCGATCGAGGATGTGAAGGGACGAGGATAGGGAATGTGATCGCAGGCAATGGGCGGTCGCCGTGTCGAGAGGGTTTTTCTCGGGGGAGTAGCCCTCTGGTGATGGACTTTGGAGGGAGTTGCAGTTGCAGGTTCACGATCCAAGCCAGGCACCTGACTCGTCACAGGTAAAGAAGTAAAAGGTAATCCAAGCCAATAGAATCCACGTCCAGGTACTGAATGGAACAGAACAGGACAGGGAGTCAACTGTAGGAGCCAACGACGGACACGCCAGTGCTAGATCCACCACAGAGTCCACCTGTCTGATGGCGGCCTCTGTGCTCTTTGGGGGTCGAGATGAATGTGGTGACGGGGGGCCGGCAATGTGGGCGCGCCGTAGTGGATGGGCTATGGGCAGTTAAATTATTTAGTACAATTTCAGGGGATGAATATACTGGGGTATGAAGTAGCAGTGTAAGAGCATGGATCGTTGGCGTTGCGCCGTGGATACGAAAAAGAGAAGTGGACAAGTCAAGTTGGGTAGTTATTCAGGAGCAGGTTAAAACAGTAATTTATCTTTTGTCGGTACTAAAGTCGGTTCCTTGTTTCAAGGCGTCAACTCGAGCTGTTACGGTGAAGTTGAGCCTCTTTGTTTGTGTATCGTAGTCCGACCTGAGGTTGGTCGCCTAACTGTAGTGTTGACGCTCCAGCCCGACACCTGGAACAGATGCTGCTACAGCTATTGTTACTGCTGCCTCATTCATGTAGCAAGCACATGTCATATCTCCTCTGGCGTCGCTCAATTGTACCCGTGTACTCGTTTACTCGTTGCACGGGATCTTTGTTCGCGATGGACCCTTTGTGGTGAGTCGAATTCAATTCAAAGGTTAATTGATCCAGTGGTTGCGTCGCCACACCTTAGACGGGAGTTACGGCAATTAAACCTCCTGTTGAACTGGAGGGACCCAAGGGGCACGCTAGTGGCCGTTGATTCTTACTTCTGACATTAACCTGCATCCTTTGATTATGCAGCGGGTGTTTGTTTGTTTGTTGTTTGTCACGGCTGAACTCGGGCAATCTTACTGACGAGAGTTGCCGAGAACAATATCAGCAGATAGGCATCTCCATGCTGCCCTTGGTTTTGATTGCAATCCGTCCAATGTTTCTGTGACTGGAGCTGTGGAATCAAATGCCGCCAAAGACAAGGTATTGCCGGCTGTCTCGGCCCCTTCAGCCTTGGGTCAATGATACAGGGCAAACTTCACTAATGCCATAGCAGCTTCGAAGGCATACTATTAACTACCTGATCTCGTCTTTAGGTTCAAGGACAACAATCGTAGCGGCCTCCCGAGACAAAGGGGAAAAGTCCTGGAAATCGTCCACATCGGCTGCCTCAAATACAGTCAAGACACCGCTTGGCAGAAGCCTGTTATTTCCCATCATTAACAGATATTCTAAATTTATATATAGAACTACGAATCCAGTCAAGTCCAGGTAGAGCTATATATGCAAAAATCGTAAGAATTTATATCATCTCTGTCATGCAATCATACATGCATTTCTTATTAATGATTAAAGGGTATTTACCTTTGTCCTACTTCTCGAGTCCAAAATTCTTTATCAAGGCCAACTTGATGGTTTACACAGTCACGTGATATATCTCGAAGCCACTCACTCGTCATTGGTCAAACTCACCCGTTCCAATGTGGCTTTCCACCTCAGCTTCCAACTCCTCTGGTAGCCTTGGCCAGTAGCAGGCTACATCATCATCAAGCTACAACGTCAACTCTTCACGTCGCCCTTGACACTAGAGCTCGCTGACAGCCTCATATCCTCACCATGGCAGAATCAGAGCTCGCCCCCAAGTTTGCCCCCTTTATTGGGATGGTGAGTATCCCCGTTCTGGTCTTTCTGTTGGTCTGAAACCAGGGGGTGGACGCGAATGCTGATGCTGCGAGTTTGTAGGCCGGAATTGCAGCTGCAATGGTCTTCGGATGTACGATATCCTCCCTCTTCCCGCGATGCGATATTACTCAGATCGAATACTGAACGACTCCGATAGGTATTGGTGCTGCTTATGGCACAGCCAAGTCTGGCATCGGCATTGCTGGTGTCGGTACATTTAGACCAGACCTCATCATGAAGGTACAACTGTCCTCTGGCTCAATCAAGGCTATCGCTGACGCCTCTTTCAGTGCCTCATCCCCGTCGTCATGTCCGGTATCATTGCCGTTTACTCGCTAGTCATCTCCGTCCTCATCGCTGAGGATCTCGACCCAGGCAAGAACTACAGCTTGTTTTCGTACGTCGACGCGAAGTCTCATCAACGAAAACGAACACTAACAGTATTAGGGGTTTTCTGCATCTCGGATGTGGTATTGCAGTCGGCATGACTGGTCTTGCAGCCGGTTACTGCATTGGAGTTGTTGGCGACACTGGCGTTCGTGCTTATATGGAACAGTCTAGGATCTTTGTTGGCATGGTCCTGATTCTTATCTTCGGCGAAGTTCTTGGTCTCTATGGGTACGTCATTGATGATATTTCAATGTGTTTTGGTCATGCTAATTATCCTGTAGACTCATCGTTGCTCTTCTCCTGAACAGCAAGAGCAAGGGTTAAACAAGTCCTATTCAATCAACAATCACACACCTATTCTGTCGACTTTCTATCGAATGGTCGACTTGTACGTCGGGGAGGTTTTGAGCTGCCATCGAGTTACGGAGGCATACCATCATATGTACATCGGGCATGGCGTTATTGGACGTGTAACATATCTTTTGCAAACAGGTAGAGAAATGGCGGGGAAGTTGACCATATCTAGCTTCGAGCATAATCGCAAAGTCTATGCTAACATGATTTCTCCAACATGTTGGCACTATACGTCTCAAGACAGTTTGAGTGTTCATTTTATTTGAGGGGTGAGCTACCTAATACCAGCCCAGGTTCACCAAGCCCTATGCGACCCTATGTTTGAGAACGAGCGACAGAAGAGAAGAATATGCTCACGACGACCGTTTCATGCCATCAATCGGAGTGCAGTTGACAATTTGAGAACCCCCAACTCGCATGCCATGCCTTATCCCGACAACCCAATCTAGATCATCAAAACGCCATGAGAATGCGACAATGTCGTTTCAGCCAACGTAATAGACATGACAGTAGCGACCCAGCGCGACAAAGATGCAAAGAAAATGCAGAAAGGCAGAGATCAACAAAGCAAGATCATAGCAAGCGTCGTCCTCCAATACGGCGAAGGAGCTTCTTTCGGCTCCCAACCTCCACCTCCCGCCTGTATGGGTTTGTTGGAGTCCAGTTCCGCTGCCGGTCATCCGAGTCTCTCATTCGAGCTGATTCTACGTTAACAACTGCGATACAACACTCGACAAGCTTGTTTTTTGTTTTTCTTTTAACTTACCTAAGAACCAGTCCCACTGGCGATCCTCTCGCAGAAGAATATCATCCCCTGATTCTCGTGCAAGTCGCTCTGTACGAGCACGGGCGGCAGCCACCTCACCAACCAGATAGGGATCTTCCAACGGTCTTGTTATGTATCGGTCTTGTTCTTGCTCGCTAACATCGGTCATGACTCGACGGAGGCTGTCTACGGGATCTCGCTGAGCAGTCAGTCGCCGGTTCGCGACATTTTGGTAGTGTCGGGCGTTGGGGTTGCTAGAGACGGAAGACCATGTCGCGATACGAAAATTGTTCAGGTTCGGTTGGGATCGCAGAGGAAGAGCAGGTACCGGAGGCAAGCCGATAGTCTGCTGGCGTGGAGTTGAGGTACCGCTCCCTTGGGGAACTAATGAGGACCTCACAACCGCGTGAGACCGAGCTGGAGGGGTGTATGATGGCAAGGTCTCGGGGTATGGATTTGTTGAGTGGTATGAGGGAGCTTCCGATACTGAATCAATGGACAAGTCAGCAAGCTTGGTCTCGTGCCAGGTAGTGGAGCTCCGGTATCGAGCGCCAGTCTGGTGTATAAGTAGAGCCGATTTCCCAGCGGGATACAAAGAATCGAAACTACTTTTGCCTACTCACCATAAGAAGGAGCAGCAGAGCGAATAGAAGCTGTTTCAAAGTCGTCGTTACTGTACCGTGGAGTTGCGAGAGCGCCCGTCATGATGGCAGATTGCGGTGGAGGAAGCACAGTTGAGAGCGAAGCGGAAGAGAGCTAGCACACGACAGCACGAGCATCAGTCCAAGAGAACTATTGGGGATGCTGGGGTTAAGTAGCGATACGAGACAATAACAGGATCACACGGTAGGCGGCTGGGACGGTTGAACGGTGCGTGGAAAGTCAGAAGGCAAGATAAGTGAGACTTGTGAAAGTGTGCGGGAGCCAGAATAATGAATGGCCTTTTGACCGGTGTTTAAGACGCCAAGCTAGGTAAGACAGGGAGGGTCAGGATGCCCAGGAGTTTGATGCACAGCCGCGGATAAACATGCATGGAGTTTCCAGGTATGCAGGAGAGGATGGTGGGAAGCAAGCAAGCGAGCGAGGTGAAGAGGCCCAGCTCGGAGGAGTACAGAGTACAGCAAACCTACTGGCGAGCGGAGCACTTCGGAGAAGTACCAGGTTCAACCCGAGCCAAGGTCTAGGCTGGGCAGCCGTATCGCATCGTGGCGTGGATTTCTCTGGCGTGGAGGTTGCAAGGGGGACTGAGATGCGGGGACACGTGAGAAAAGAAACGACGATGATGCTGTGGAGGACCATCGAAAGCACCATGACGCGTTCTGTTCAATGCAAGTCTTGAATAAAAGTGTCTTGCTTCTGGGCACTGTTAAGAAAGTTTGCTGATCCCGCCCAGTGTATATTCGTGTCACAAGCTCTCCTGCATGCGCTCCGTACAACCGCCACAACTCCAACAATTGCGAATGCAGGGTGCACAAGAGGATCTAGAGGCTGCACAGTGACTTCCCTAATTAGGGACGACCGTCAGCAAGCTCCCCTGAAGACACGTTCGGGTGTTTTCCTTAGTTGGCATAACGAGCTTCCATGGATGCTTCGACACGATACGGTGATAGCGGGGTATCACGGACAGTTTTCCGGCGAGGCCTCGGAGGACATTTACCCACTGTGAATGGCGGGGTTGTGTATCCTGTGGATCATGATCGGGCTATGTGTGCAGGGGGGAGAGTCTCTGAGGCGCGGGGGGGAGAGGCCTAAAAGTCCAGAAGCCCAGAAGTCCAGATGGCCAATGGATAAGACGGCTGGCGGGTGTTGTCTTGGCCGTGAGAAGTTCCCTGGCAGAAGCAGAAGAAGCAGCGTAACTGACGGAAGCCAATGTTGCACAACGACTGCGTTGACGGTATCTCAATCCGGTTTTGTTCAAGACGGCGGTCGAGCTTGCGCCAAGTGGTGGAGCTGAATGATGTATTTGACGTCGAGCTTGCATTTCCAGGACCAAGTTTGTTTTAATTTCCGTTTCGTCTTGCGCTGCCCTGTCCTGTCCTGTCGCAAGAATGTTGGCGCAGCTTCCATTATTTCCTTACAGTAAGGTTGCCGATCTTCCTAACCGCTGTGAACCGCGTGGTCGGGCCGGCCTATGATGCCAGACCTGGCTATTCTTTTGGGATTCTCAAAGAGCGCTATGTGACGCCCAAGTCCATTTATCCTTGCTGGAGCTCGACACCCACCTCTTCCTCCCAGCTTCGAATAGGTTTAGCTTGGCGTCCTCTCTCCACATTCATCGAAGTCTGAAGGCGCTGAAGACCTCAACGGAGTGGTGTCCTGCTCATCTTTGCTTCGAGCCATTTGATTGTCAGCCTCTTGGTGTGAAGAGCTGTTGATCAAAAGCGGGGGGCTTGCTTGATCAGTAGATACAGAATTCTAAACTGGTGACTTTTGGCGCATCTCAGATGCAGGAACAGCCCGCGGGGCATCAAAGACCACTTTCAGATCGCATCTTATCAGTACCTGTCCGCAACAGCTACTCATGAGGCACTATTGGGTATTCCCCGCTTTCTCCCATGGGAAAGGAGGAATCTATCTGCTTCTAAGCGGCTGGTCCGGCCCCATTTCACCGAGGTGTCGAGGCCCCCGATTGAATTCAGTTAGTTGCGACTCATACTTCAGGGGAAGCGGCACGGTTCGCACGGAACTGTTGAGCGGGAAGTATTAAATCGCGACCGTAATTCCATAGTTCGAAGGTACATCTTGCTAAACCTGTCACACAAGCATGCAGGTTGCGCTCTGATAGTAATAGACGGCGGTGAGTGTCTGCTGACGTGCATCGAGGTGCATGACAACCTGGTTTGGTATCGTGGCTGGAATGGAAAGGAAACGCTGGAAAATGATAGATGTCGACTCTTTTCGTTCCTCGAGGTTCTTCACTCAAATAGACACCAGGTGCCAATAAATGAAGTGGCCTTACACATCGAACCGCTATTTCTGTAACATACAATATTATACCAGAACCATCGTATGTAATGATTCAGAGACAAAGTGAGCTCGGTTTTCCTTCCTCCCCAGGCGCAGGTCTTAGGCGGGAGCATAGGGCTACGTTGGATGGTTGGACCCTTGGATTCGAAAGGGAGGGCGGTGTCCTATTCGCAGTCAATACCTCCCTTTCTGAGAGGGTTGCCGGGAAAGCCCGTATCAAAACAATGCTTTCTTTGTCTTTGCTGATTTGTCGATGGTGTTGCGTGACTATTGTGGCACGAGATGAACTTCGACAGTTGACGACTCTCTCGCGCGATTCGCCCACAAACATCGACGTACCAAGTTGGTCCTTGGAAATCCTGATTTTGGGGCATGGGATTCTCTTGGCTTTTGGTGAAAGTGTTTCGTTTTGCCATAAGATAAGGTAAGTGGTTGGTTTGAGTGGATGTTTGCTGCAGCAGACTGCATTCCTGCCTAAAGCGGGCTTACAATGACTGCAGCTCTACCTGCAAAAGCTCTTTTCTCTCAGGGCCATAAATCACATGCATTCAGGCATGAACCTGCCAATACCTAAAGATTTAGGTGCATTTCTTAAGTTCGGGCTGTAAGGGACCTAACTTGGCGAGTGTAACAGTGTAAGGCACTGGTTTGACACACAATGAATCTATGAGACAGGGGGGGTTGATGAGATTATCTGGACAACTGTATAAATCATACTGAGGTGGACTTTACGACCAGAACCTTTGTTGCTATGTTCAATGAATATCTGTCGCATATTGGGAATTTCGTGAAAACAATATCCCATCACCAGCCGAGTTCTTTTAAAGGCGGCGACCAAGATCTTACCCCAAGCTATTACCTATATGCTCTTCACGTTTGCTGGCTGGACATGGAGGCTACGAACATTATCTTAATTTTCATCTTTCTGATCGCCTGAAGGTGAGTCAAGAGAAAGGATTGTATGGTTGGTTATGAGTGAATGATTCCCAGGCGCTGGGCATCTTTGAGTGTCTTGTTTGAGATATAGTGTGACATAGGAAGAATTCATCTTTAACTCTATAGACCATGCTTCCTACACTAATACGTCGTTCTTATAGATGGTAATTGTTTGCCGAATTCCATAGATACCGATCTTGCTCTGTGTAACAGGGTAATGATCTGCCGGCTCTTATTGGATCGGCCAATACGTGATTTCAATGCGAGATTTCACCATCGATTAAGCCCGGTTTATCTCTGCAATACGTCAATGTTCCTGGTTCTTTGAAGTTGAGTCATGGCCGACGACCCGTTTGATGCCCCACGTCGTATCAGATTCGTTTTCTTATTCACAATTTTGGTAACGCAAAAAGTATTTTCAGCAGCAGCGTTTTGACGTCTTTCTCCTGAACCGACTGCGATAATTCTCATATTATTGGAAAGCGACAATCCTTAATCGCAATCGCAATAAACCGTCTCATCATGAGGAACTCGTCTCTCACAGCCCAGGATCCTGAAGCATTGGACCCTTCACAGCAAAGCAACAGTGAAAATGATACCCTGGAGCCTCGTGAGGATCAACCGCTACTTCAAGCTCCCGACGAAGACAGTTGGAAACCCCCTCGTGGGTTCGTCTGGATTCAGTTGGCCATTATGTCGAATGTATTCCTCTACGGCCTCGATAGTACCATCACCGCTGCCACCTATGCCGTCATCAGCTCTGAGTTCGATGCCGCAAACACAGCCTCATGGTTGACTACATCGTATCTTGTCACTAGCACAGCGTTCCAGCCTCTCTATGGCAGGGTATCTGATATCTTTGGACGACGACTGTGTTTCTTCATTTCGACCATTACGTTTGCCTTTGGATGTCTTGGATGTGGTGTTGCGAACAATATCATCTTTCTCAATGTCATGAGAGCATTGACGGGCTTTGGCGGTGGAGGCTTGATGACAATGGGTAAGTGTAACTCCAAACTCTCTCATTCACTTCCATTGATATGTGAAAGCCACTATTGTCAATTCGGACATGATTCCTTTTAGGAAGCGCGGCATGTACCAAGCTCTTCAGAACGGCATCTATGGCTTTGGAGCTATTTCTGGAGCTTCCTTTGGTGGCTCGATTGCCGACCATATTGGCTGGAGATGGTGTTTTCTCTTCCAGGTGCCCGTATCAATCATGGCTCTGATCATTGGAGCTCTGGTCGTCTCTGATCAATCTGGAGGTTTTTCGCTCGATGGCAGTCTAGGTACTGTCTGGCACAGAGTCGATTTCTCTGGGTCACTTCTTCTAGTCGTAGCTATCTCGGTTCAGCTTGTGGGACTCAGCCTGGGGGGAAACGAGCTTCCCTGGGGTAGTCCTTGGGTGATTGGAGCCCTGATTGGAAGCGTTTTCTTGTTTGGTCTTTTCCTCGTCGTTGAGGAAAAGACGAGTGCCATCCCGGTTATCCCCCTCCGTTTGTTGCAAGGAAGGCTACCTATTGCAACGCAGTGTGCAAACGTATGCGCAGGCATGGCTGCATATGGGGTAAGCTTCCGCGAGTTGCCCAGGTTTAGTGATTTAAACTAACCCTTAGCGAGTACCTTTTCATGCTTCCGCTTTTCTTTCAGGTTGTTCTGCTTGACTCGGCCACCACAGCCGGTGCTCGACTTGCAATTCCTTCACTGGCGACTCCAATTGGCGGCCTTATTGCTGGTGTAGTTATGTCTCGTTGGGGCAAACTGCTTGCTCTTGTGCGAACTGGAGCTCTGTTGATGGTAGTAGGCAACGGCTTGGTGACCTTACTCCAGTTTCAAGATTCGAAGTGGAAGTACTTTGTCTATGTCTTTCCCGCAAACCTTGGTCAAGGCATTATTTATCCTGGTATACTGTTTACTTCGCTCGCCTCGTTCGACCACGCCGGTAAGCACATAAGTCTCTGTCGATCAATATTGCCAGCTTACAAGTTTACAGATCACGCTGTCACGGCCTCGACAGTGTACCTCATCCGCTCACTAGGAACCGTCTGGGGCGTTTCAGTCACATCTGCCATCGTTCAGACTACACTCAGCGTTCGCCTACCTGATGCATTGAGTGACGTAGCAGATAAATGGAGAGTATGCCCTTTTTCTTGTCGCCAACTTCTGTCGTAAAGCCTTTGATCAGATGCTAATCGTGCTTTGCCACATAGGTTATTGAGCAAATCAGACACTCTGTCGACTATATCCGTCAATTACCTCCCGATGTGCAACTCAGGGCGCGTCTGGTTTACTATGATGGTTTGAGATATGCGTTTGGCGCCTCGACTGCCGTAGCCCTTCTAGGACTCTGTGCTGCCTTGATCGCCAGCGGAACTGGCCTTCGAACAACTCACAAGTAGTCAGACGTGGCCAAGAGTTTGTAGTTCATCAAACGAAATAGTCTCAGTCTCCTGCATCCAACCAGATTTCTCTGGGCAAGCGTTCACTTCATGACTGTTACTGGTGGTCATTGGCAGAGTCCCAGAGCTCCTTAGTGGATAGAACCAATTCAATTCTTGCAGTCACCTGCAAATAGAGGAACCGAATCTCGACGACACCATGTGCCCGCCGATCAGCGAAATATAGATAAACAAAAATGACATATTCATAACTCTTCGGTGAATAGCCAACGAACAAAAAGTGTGGTTCCGCCCGGGATCGAACCGGGGACCTTCTCGGTGTTAACGAGATGCCATAACCAACTAGACCACGGAACCAATGTAGTTATTATAAACCAAAAATTGTGATCTGGATAATATTCGCTGATGGCCATTGAGCTGATAGGTCTATCCTAAGGCCCTTCAGTCTAGCAAGAGGCATTCAGGGCTGACATGATCGAGGCGACGAAGGTTTCAGGCAAGGAGTACGCGAGTAACTACCGCCCGTAAAGACTGTTCACAATAGCTTGAAAGGAAATGTATCATCGAAGATCGCTCTATACCTTAGGTACAAAGATAAGGTATGTTACCTACGTGGGTACCTAGTTAAGAGACACCAATTACCTTGACCACGAACGACTTCGAGATTGTCGTACTGACTTTTCTTTTCTTCTCAATAATCGATGATCTCATTCTTGAGGCCGAGTTGATAGTTTCAACGATAACTCAACTCTCACCTAAGGTGCTTTAACTGAAGCTGAGATACTGACACCAGGGCGCTGCAAGTGTAGCTACTCAGAGAGGGTAATAGGAACGGTCATCACTACCAATAACTGAATGTGACAATAATAGCCTGATGAATACAACATGAGAGATTTCTTCTTACCTAAGGTACCTTAACTTATCTACTAGGTAATAGGCGTGCTGTAAGTTCCTAGTTGCTGCTGCCTGAGGTGGCAGGTGCTTGACAGTGGCTGCCAGGCATTGAAACTGCCTCCGCGATAGGCCCCTCTTGATCAATATCAGACGCGACTAAAATCGTCCCTTCTCTCCTCCTTCCAACTTCATTCTCCTTATCCTGCATCATAACCTCCTAAACTTTCAACCTCACCTACTAACTACAGCCCCTCGACCAACTTCAAGCCGGTTCATCAGTATAGGGGGCAGTTTAGAGCGAAACTTCCTCGTTGATTAACCTGCTTTTGCCCTTATTAGTCGAAGTCTCGGGCGCTCTTTCAGAGATTCAAAGGCACATCCGGGAGCAGCATGTTCTATAGCCACGAGAGTAAGTCACCTCATGATATGTCATCAACTAGGGCATAACTAACACCGCTTCAGTCCTCAGCAATACCCAGTATGGGGTTGCCACCATCTGGTATATATCAGTGTCTTCGTTTCGTCTCATTCTATTCACTGACTTTGCAATCTAGGCTCGTCGCCACCGTGGGCAAGTCTAATCAAAAGCGGTTGACTCGCAAGGCAATTCAACAAGTCAACGTTCCCAAGGCCTGCGAGACCATCATCGACCCAGGAGCCCCGTTGGCTCTACGTCTCCAGGGGAACCTCCTTTATGGAGTCTCTCGAGTCTATGCCCAGCAGTGCCGTTACATGCTCTCAGACGCTGAAAAGACACAATCTGACATGATGACCTTCTTTCGGGTTATGGATACAAGTGAAACGGACCCAAACGCGGGCAAATCAAAGTAAGACGTCCTTTGTTGCCTCACAAAGCTCTGTGTACTAACATATTCTTCTAAGGCGGCATCAAATCACCTTGCAGGATGACCCGTCCTTTGATCCTTTGTCGACTATCCCAAAGCTCGACCTTTTGGCTAGCGTTGATGATTTGGTTCTTCTCTCGACAAAGTTTTCGTCACAAGGCAGTGTCTCTCAAATGACTCCTAAGACTCAAGGTTCCAGCTCTTCAGGTCGGGGCAATTCACTGCTCAACTTCGACATTCCTCAGTCTTCGCATTCTGGCCGAAGTTACCGTCTCCCAACGGATCTTGACCACGATTCTCCTTTCGCAAAACCTTTTCATACGCAGGACCCTGTGGAGGACTTCAACCCGTTCGGTGTAGACATTGCAAATATGCCCGGTCTTGACCTCAACTTTGACCTTGACGGCAACCTCATTGAGTTCGGCGACATGGAACCACAACTCCCTCCCCTTCCTGGAACGGCGGCATTTGAAGAGCAACTCCAGATTCAAGCTGCCAATGCCGGCCTCGGCGTCGAAAATGGACCCCTTGAAGGAGACAATGTGATCATCATGGGTGAAGATGCCTTACCTGACGCCGAGCCTTTCCCCAAGCGCTCTGTTGCCAGAAAAGCAACTTCCTCGGCCGAGCCCAGCTCTGAATCAGTTTCGACTGAGCAAGCCAAAGCACCACTGAGACGACAAAGGCGACGTCGAATTCGCCAAATGGTCGACGGAAAGAACCATGTTGCTGCAACAGAGATGCGAAGCTGGTCTATGAACTATCTTAACAACATGAAGGCCAACTATAAACCCCGTCTTGCTACCACTGTCGCCCAGGCACGCCACAATGCGAAGGCTCTTCTTTTTGACAATGGGCTCGCGGGTATTGGTAGAGCTAGTTCAGGGGCGACACACCTCCTCGCAGAACACTTCTCTGGTATGGCTCTCTTGGCGCAGTTACAGGGAAAGAATCCTGAGCAAGAACCAGAAAGTGTGACGCGGGGCCGCCGCCGTGCTTCTGCTGAAGCTTTTGAAGACGAGCACAATGAAGCACGGAATGTCCGTCAGAAGTTAGACCATGCCAACGAGCTTGGGCGTGGTGTTGATTATGACATGGGTGCTGTCATGTTTGGTGAAGACATTGCCCCAGAGATGGGAATGGATGCAGCAAAGGGTCTTGAAGATCGGCACTCCTCATCCATGGCTCCTTGGAGTCGTCCTCCCTCTGCTGCTCCTGGTTCGTCTATTCGGGGACAGGGTAGTGCACAGAAGAGATTCCCTGCTCCAAGTCCTCTGCATGCCCGCGGTAGTGCAATTCGCCCAATCGAGCGCTGGAGTGATCAGCTTGGGCCGCAACATGGCTCTGATGACTTGGCGATGCTCCGTTCTCAAGATTCTTCTATCGGCGATGAAGGATTCATGGTTGATGTCGAATTCGGCAATGGCGGCGATACACAGGGCTCTGGTGCCGTCATTGATGCCTCTGCTCTTGACTTCTTAGGCTATGCCACTTCTCGTGTGGAGTCCAAGGGATATACTCGTTCTTGCGAGCAAGCTGGCCGTCGCTGGATTGATTTCAATACTCTTACCGACGAGCTCGATGACCCTGCCAACTCCAAGAAGTTCGCATCGGAAGCTTTCATGCATGTTCTCGTTCTTGCAACTAAGAACGTCATTGCTATCGAGCAAGATGGGATTGCCGACAAAAAGCCCTTCGGCACCATCCGCATTGGCCTCACTCTTCCTCAGCAGGAGGTCGAAATGGCCGACGAGCTGGCCTAGACTTGTTTTTGGACCGAGGGTTCAATTGGTACACTATCATTCATGTGAGTTTCATAGACGCATGGCGATGACTTTACGATTTCGCGCAGCGTTGCCCATTTGATTTATAGGGCAAATCAGTCACCAAATTCTTGGAGTTCGGGGAACACTTGACATGGAAGCAAAATGGGATCATAGGTATTGACAGCATATGTGGGATACGGTCAACGGTATATATCTTGATTTGGGGGTGGGAAACGAGGTAGCAACGGGATATTTCTGGTCCGTAAGCAAGAGATTCATTCAGTGGGCAAACACTCGATACATCATATTTAAAGAAACAAAACTTGAAATACTTCGCACATGATTATTATTATTGATATTGTCTCTAGTCGAAGGGATCATCATCCACTCCACCCTCTCGATCTTCGAACTGCATGTAATCAGCAGATGTGCCCTCAGCTTGAGCATTAATCAGTTTCCAAGCCTCATGAACAGAGTCAAGGATGGAATCATCGAATGCTAGACCCAGCGACGGGAGGGGAAAGGTAGCAATGTCTCTATCTACGCTCAAAGAGTTTGATCCACCACTCTGTTCGTAGTACACCTGGTAGATCGGCGAGGACACATTGTGGCCCTTGGAAACAGCGGCAATCAGAGACGAAAGAGCCTTTTTGAGGACTGATTTCGCTGATGTGGTATAGACAGTGCTGAGATATATAACATCTGTTGACCTTTCGTTAGCATGATTGTCTTTTAATCATGTGTCAAATAAAATAATAAAGTGTGAGGTGTGCATCAGGTTGTCAGAGATAATGATCGTCATTAGAATTCAGACAATGTAGATAAGTATTCGGTATGTGAATCATCATAACACAATGAGAAAAGAAGAAAGGATAAGGTGAACTCACATTGTCCAGAAGGGCACTCCCCAGTGTCGCTTGAGTGTACCATAGCATAGACTGGAAACTCGTGAGGGCTTTCGTCCTCAACAGTGACAATGCTCGAAGGAAATGCCACCACTGCGACAGCGGGCGTGGGAGCGCCGTCAGTAAGGAGTTCAAAGACCGGAGACAAATTTGACTTTGTGACCGCTGTGAGCCTGCTGATTCGAATACTGCTAGAGTCAGCTGCATCGGCGCCTTGTACCACCAATTTGGTCTTGACGTCGATATCATTCGTGAGTGAGAGCTCCAGCGGAGCATCGGGTTGTTCTGATCGTTTCAGGTTCTTGATGCCAGATCCCAGCATATATATTGCACCACCAACCGCAGCAGCACGGCAGCCCACTTGAGCCACCTCTGACAATCCACCCCATTTGGGATAGACTGCAGCAAAGCCAGGACCGAAAACGCCCATCGATGTCATATGTCGGTTGATGGCGGTTAAGCCATCTTTGACCGATATTTTCCCATCATGGCTCAGCGTCAGTGTGATGATGTGGGATTGAAGTGCAGCATCGAGCTTGAACTCGGAGGCCAGAAACTGTGCCAGCTCCTCATCAGCACGTGCCTGCCAT